CCCCCCCTCCCCACATTTCAAATCAGAAGTAGTATTGGAATGTTCCAAAATAGACAGAAAGACTTAGTTATTTATTTAAAATATTTTCATCCTGCCTTTCTCCTGAAGAGGGACCAGAGGCAGCTGATGTCATTAAAAAGACCATACTTAAATGCTAAAAACAGCGAGTCCGAGTCTAAAAATATTTAAAAACAATTAAACAAGTATTGTATTAAAACGGTAAATGAAATCAACACCAAAACACATTTAAAACAACAGAACACAACAGCCCACTTAAAAAACTCATCCCAGACCACCAGTCCTTAAGGAAAAGCCTGCCTGAAGAGAAAGATCAAACGATGGATCAAAGAAGGATGCTCCCATTTTCCTGAGTGGCAAGACATCCAGAGAGGAATGCTGTGGGGAGAGGTTTCCTTTGGTGAACCAAAAGCACTGGAGTGTCAGAGCAAATATGACTGTTTTGGGGAACGGGTATTACGAAAGTACCCCCAAAGCATACAGGAAGTAAATGGACTAGCAAAGCATCCATGGCCCTTTCAGACATTGGCCTAATTTCACCAGCCTCTCCTCCCTTCCCTGCATACACAAGTGATGAGTTCAGGGCACGGGTTTGAAAAGTTACATTATGTGGACGAGAACACCAGGTTGGGCTGGGGGAAAAGAGAGAAGCCATCCAGAATCTGATTTCAGTTTCCTTGAAAGAACATTCTGTCCCTCTCTTGGGGAAAAAAGAGTGGAAAAGAAGAAAAAGGGACAGACAGAGGGAAGAAAGAGAGAGAAGAGAGAAAGAAAGGGAGAAAAAGAATGGCTTTACTCAGTTTTATCTACAGCTGCAATCACCATTTGGGTCCATCATTAGCTTCAGCAACCACTGCCAGTACACCACACACACACACACACACACACACGAGAGAGAGAGAGAGAGAGAGAGAGAGAGAGAGAGAGAGACAGACAGACAGACAGACAGAGACAGACAGACACACAGACACACAGACACACAGACACACACACGTCATACATTACCTCCAGGGTAATGTGTCTAGTTAAAATGACTAAACTGAGGCTACTGTACTTTGAGCCCATTCTGAGAAGGCAACAGCCAGTTGGAAAAGGACAATAATGCTAGGAAAAGCGGATGGCAACAAGAAAAGAGGAAGACCTAGCAGAAGATGGACTGACTGAATAAAAGGAGCCATGGCCTTTAGGTTGCAAAACCACAGGGCTGATAATCCGATCTCTTAGAGGTTAGCAATTCACACGATTACCACAAGTTGGAAGGGACTTGACGGCATGTAATTACAGCAAGGTAAAGTGGTTCTTCATAGGAAGAAGCACTAAGCCACTCCTGAAATAGATACTCCTACGTACAGGAGGAAACAAGCCTGGGGACTGAGCATCCAAGCGTGATAAAGAGATCTCACCCACACCCTCAAGGGGTGATCTTTCAGCCAGTTCAAAAGAGCACACCATCATCCCTCGCAAAAAAAAAACCTCACGACGGTGCACTGCCCTGCAAGTGTGCAAAAGCTTATTCCAAATTCTCACGGACAGTTGGAGGCATCCACCAGGCCAGCTGCCTTAGATCCCAGGCTCTTTCTGACGGCCACAAAGAAGATGAACTCGAGCTGGACCCCAATGTGTTCTTGAGGGTCAAAGAACGTTCTTTACAGAACACAGTGCCTCCTTTAAAAAAAAAGACCCAGCTTCTCATCAGGTCAGTGGCAGTTCTTGATGTTTTACTTGGGCAGTTAAGAACTCGCACCCCCTCCATTCCATGACGGAACATGGTATTAATAAAGTAAATGAATTCTGGACAGAGCACTTGCTTCGAACAACACTATGCAGGGCAGGTTTGCGATTCTCCTTGACCTCCTGGGCCTGTTTACCTGCTTGGAGCTTCTGACTGCCCCTAAGTGGAGCACCACAGGTGAGAGCCAGTCATCTTTCATGTCCAAGGTAGATGCCAGCTGTAGCTAGTCATCTTATAAATACAATTGAGTCGTTCTCTGACTATTGAGGAATCGCCCTTCGTCAACCATGTAAGCTACTTTTGTCAAAAGGAATGTGCGGCGCTCAGGGCATATTAAACCCTCCATGCAGTGCAAGGCCAGTGATTTAAACTTTCTCATCTCTTCTCACTAGTTAATTTTTAAATTAAATTATTAGGGGTTGTTTTTTTTTTTAAGCACCTTGGGATTTACAGAAAACACTGCCATTGACCTCTGGTGGCACATTTTTGATTTATCCTTTCAAACATGCTCTGTTTGTTGTTTATTATTGTCTTCTTCCACCCAATATTCTTTTTCCAAAAGGATTCTAAATCACTTTATATAATCGTTGGTTGGCGACAAGAGAGGCCAACACATCAGACTGGGAAAGAATATCTTAAAGCATAGGATCTCATCTGATAACCTGCCCAGTTAAGTTCTGTCACTGATCAACCATTTTTGTTCTCTTCTCTTCACTGGACTAATGTGTACACTGTACACTCACCCTTGGATTGTTAAAGATGTATAAGGAACAATGTGTATATTTCAGTAGTGGCCAGTGAGCAACTGCAAATGGTCGTATAAGGAACAATGTGTATATTTCAGTAGCGGCCAGTGAGCCACCGCAAATGAAGGTCACAAATTGTTGTTGTTTAGTCGTTTAGTCGTGTCCAACTCTTCGTGACCCCATGGACCAGAGCACGCCAGGCTCCCCTTTCTTCCACTGCCTACTGAAGTTGGGTCAAAGTCATGTTGGTCGCTTCAATGACCCTGTCCAACTATCTTGTCCTGTCCTCTGTTGTCCCCTTCTCCTCTTGCCTTCATACTTTCCTAACATCAGAGTCTTTTTCCAGGGAGTCTTCTCTTCTCGTGAGATGGCCAAAGTATTGGAGCCTCAGCTTCAGGATCTGTCCTTCCAGTGAGCACTCAGGGTTGATTTCCTTCAAAATTTAAGTGCAGGCAGAAATTTCACCACTCAGCCAAAAGGTCACAAATAGTGACCTACAAAGATGACTCCATGAATCAAGGGAAGATAATTCTTGATCAGAAGCAGGAATCACCAGAAATATTCTGAGCGTCTCTTGAGTATAGACAGAACATTCTTACGTAGAACCAAGAGCTGGGTTTGGGCAGTGCTGGTGGAGACTTACATTTTCTCTGCTCCAACATGTTCTTGCTGTAGCTGAGGCAGCCATTTTATTTGCAAAGGGTTGGACTGAAGAACACTTGTGTGCTATCATGTTGCTTCTGAACACTGGAGGCATTCAAGAGAAAACTGGACAGCCATCTGACAGATTTGGATTCCCGCACTGAGCAGGGAGTTGGACTTGATGGCCTTATCAGCCCCTTCCGACTCCATTATTCTATGATAAGGTGGATTAGAATGGTCACCCCTTTCTTTCAGTTTTGGGGTTCGCAATTGAAGGCCAAGGGAGGTGGCCCTTGTGAAATCGCAAGAGGGGGAAAGCAAAGAGGGGGGAGACATTTTAGTAATCCAGTAGGTGACAAGATGCCCTGAGCAGCTGCGGCTGTTGCAGCCATAGCTGTAGGAGATCATTGCCCGCATGGATGCATGCACAGTACATACAAGACATAGTTGAGGTCCTACTGTACTGCTGGGGTGGTGGAAGCCCTGTACGACTCTAGTCACTGTTTGTGCTGTAGCATTGCAATACTGTACTAGTTTGCTTGAAAGGGCATTCTCAAGTCAAGACCCCACTGTACTAGTTTGCTTGAAAGGGCACGATGGTCCCAAGTGCAGGCACCTAAGGGCATTTTCCTCAGCTCCTCTCCCTTTGCCCCTGCTTTTTTTTTTTTACTGCTTCAAGAATCTGCACACCCAGCACATATAAGCACCAAACTAGTGTCCTTGGTACCAACTGGAAATAGTTGATGGTGGGTGACCAGGCTGTAAAGTCATCTGGCATACGAAATAAAACTTCCTCCTCTTCTAGCACCACTTACATTGGGAGTTCTCTTCCTGCTTGAAGACCTAAGGAAGGATAGCAATTTCCCAAAACTATAAGCCAGCCCCACTAATCGGAACCTGCTGTAGAATTCTGTATTTGCAGCAGGACCATGGTCTAGAAGCACTCTAAATGCAGGCATAAATTTCGCCACTCAGCCGAAGGATCAGTTTATTGATCCAGTCAACAGATGCTGTGAAGTGTGAAGATCAGGAAGAGTTTTCCCCAAGATCCATTCCTTCTGTATGTGCAAACCCATGAAATTTTTTTACAACTCAGAAATGAAGATTTTTCATTATATACAAATATTTCTTGTCTGTGTCACTCTCTCTGCATGAAGCTTTGCCGGTGGTATGCACCCTCCCCTCTGAAAGAGGGCCCTGCCAAGGACGTCACACTCGATATTATTACAATCCCAAGAGCAGAACATGTGAAAAATTTGTTTACAGTGGCTGTTCAGGCAATGGAAATAGATTTTATTCTGCTCAAGCCTGCAAAGAGACGTGTGAAGTGGCAGAAGGTAAGAGCTTTTTTTTGCCTTAAGTCCAAGCTGATCAGCTCTCTGCGAGGCTTGCCTTCTCAATACATTGGAAGGAATGGCTGTTTAAAGGCTGGTACACCGGCCACATGGAAGTGGTGGCGCTGTGGGTTAAACTGCAGAAGCCTCTGGGCTGCAAGGTCAGAAGACCAGCAGTTATAAGATCGAATCCACGTGATGGAGTGAGCTCCCGTCGCTTGTCAAGGCTCCTGCCAACCTAGCAGTTTGAAAGCATGTAAATGCGAGTAGATAAATAGGTATCACCATGGTGGGAAGGTAACGGCGTTCCACGTCTAGTCGTGCTGGCCACGTGACCATGGAAACTGTCTACGGACAAACGCTGGCTCTACAGCTTGGAGATGGGGATGAGCACCACCCTCTAAAGTAGGACATGACTGGACTAAAGTCAAGGGGAACCTTTACCTTTTACACCAGCCACACAAGGAGCCCAGGAAACGTAAAAAATAGACAAGGGGGAAAATCGAATGCAAAGATGTGTGGGAAAGGATGCTGAGCTGAACTGAGACTAATGGTGCAATTAGATGCTTTAATGATCCTGGCCACCCCACTTCCTGTGAGTCTCTTGCTATCTGGCCCAAGAAGCTCTCTCCAGAAGAGGGGAAGACAGCCAATGTATTACATTAGACAGCTAATGCATTATTACAACTACTTCTTATTCTAATCACAAACACACAAGTCCTCTTGGTGTATATCAAATGATCATGTTAAGAGTTCAGAATGATCCAAGTAGGTTAATTAATTAACTGGGCCCTTGAGCAAAGATCACTATGCTGAGCAGCTCTGTTGATCTTCTTTTCATCTAGGACCTCCCACACCCTCATCAGAGCATCCAAGTCCTCTGGGTAAAAACGTTGCAGGTAAGAGGCAGTTGTCCTGCTAACCCAAGGGAGATCCCAAATGCAGCTGTCACAGTTATTCTAAACAGGTAGTTAGTTGTGAGAATGACAGATGTCTTTGAACTAGTTAGCAGGATTTTTTTTTAAATAGAAAGTGACTCGATTTGGTTCTTTTAACTCATTCAAGGGATGCAAAGTCACTGGCTTCACTTTCTAGTGCCATCCTCCCCTTGCTCTGGCTTTTGTTTGGAACACCATTTTCCAGGTGAACCTTGAGTTTTTGTGTAAATGATGGACAAGAGGTAGACATGCTCCATCTCTTTGTATGCTCAAAAGCTGAATGCCAGACCGGATGCCAAGGCCTGACAATGGAGGAAGCCAAAAGAGAAGGGCATATTCTGGTCAGGAACACTCCCTAGCTCATGAATTGTGACTGCAGCGGGGGGGGGAGGAAGCTGATGCCCAAATGTGGGGCATTAAACTCTGAGAGACCTCTTGGTGGTTAAGTGTCGATCTTGGCCTCCAGACATGGCCCAACTTTTTCATCTAGGACGAAGCAATGATGGTGAGGTGATTTGCAGGATTGGCGTCCTAGATGAACATTACCGGGCGTCTGCTGGGGAGACCCACTGGAGTCAATGGGGAGACCCATTGCTGGTCATTAGGACCTTTTGGCCCTGTTATCCTTCTGCACTGGTGGGTCTGCTCACCTGCCTTCTTAAAGTCAAAAGTGACAAGAAGAAGTGGGCTAAAGCGTCCGTTTTAAGTATCACTTCCTTCTTCTCTACGGGACATCCACTCCCATTTAGCGTTGGGAGAGTGGATAGAGACAAAAGGAAATATTTCTTGACCCAGAGTCTTGGTAGTCTGTGGAACTCCTTGCCACAGGATGTGGTGATGACATCTGGTCTAGATGCCTTTAAAAAGGGCATTGGACAGATTCCTGGAGGAAAAGTCTGTCGTGGGTTACAAGCCGTGATGGGAATGTATAATCTGCAGGCTGAATAAGAAGGTACGTCAAAATGCCAGATGCAGGGGAGGGGGGTCAGGAGACAGGTATCTCATTGTTTCGTAGGCTCCCAGAGGCATCTGGTGGGACCACTGTGAGATACAGTCTTTTATTTATTCAGATACAATAAATTCCCAATTTCTGTACTGCGGAATGAGTTGACCTTCTGCTTGATCTCTCCCCTTCACAGGTCTCCCTAGAGAATGCACCCTCCCCTCTGATCACGGGCCTTGCAAAGGAGATTATATCCGTTATTTTTATAACTCCAAGAGCAAAAAATGTGAAACATTTGTTTATGGCGGCTGCTTGGGCAACGGCAATACATTTAATTCTCTGGATGACTGTGAAAAGATTTGCAAAGTGTCAAGAGGTAAGGCCATCCAGGTCTCAATGCACTCGTTGGTTAGATGTGATGCTGGATTTCTGACCAGGCATTTCTACTTCATATGTGTTGTGTGTTGTAATGTCAGTAAGACAAGTCAGGTAGTTGTAAATGGTGTATAAGGAAGAACTACAGCTACCTGATTGGGAGTTCGATTCCTCC